GTTATTGTTTGGGCAACAGACACAAAATAATAAAGGAAAAATGCATCTTTTTGGTTTTTATAATTACTTTTCAGCTCATCTAATTGAAAAAATCCTTTTAAATAAAATTTAAAGTTTTTCATTTGTGTGAGATGATTATCTTCCTATTCACCATTAAGTTCATAATTTCTCCAATAATACATTTTCATTGTTTCCAAAATTCTTCTATTTGATTTGTGCTTTCTTTATGTAACTCAGTTCCTTTGTAATTTTCTCAATTTTAAAGAAAACAAATAGCCTTCCTGTATGAATGCTAAAGACAGAGCTCACAACTATATCTTTGTAAATTTGCCCATCACAATATTTTTTTTGTCATCTTAAATAACTTGCTATATCATGTTGGGTATGGCAGGAGGCAAATCATTATGTTTCCAGACTCCTGGTCTATGGATTTTTAATGCTTTGCTTCTTATTCTATTTATGATATTAAAATGATAGGCTATTTTATTCACCATTTCTACATAACATCATTAAGAACTGCAAGATTTTTTTTTTAAAGGCACATCAAGACCATCGAAAGCTAGGAAACAGGGTAAGGTTCTGTCACCTACCTTAAAGTAGCTTAAATTTGAAAGCTACTTGAATAGCAATAGCACAGCGGGTAGGGCGTTCGCCTTACAAGCGGCCAACATGGCCGACCCGAGTTCGATTCCTCCGCCCCTCTCGGAGAGCCCGGCAAGCTACCGAGAGTATTCGATATGCCAGACACAGTAACAACAAAGTCTCCAATGGAGACGTTACTGGGCCCGCTCGAGCAAATCGACGATCAACGGGAGGGCCTTTACCTTTACCTTAAATTTGAAAGAGGAAGTTTATTTTCTATACTACATTTTGTGTCCTGCAATCAACTTCCAATAATCAGTATCACGTTCCTGTCCCTTGTTCTTATTTTGCCTTGAAATTTTTTTCTGAGGAAAAAGCTATGGTAGTTTTGTATTTTCTGATTAGTTTTCCTCTGGATGTTGTTGTGTAGCCAAATTTGTTTGTGAAGTTCTGGAATTATATGAATAGCTTGACCTAACTAACTGAACCTGACCAGACTTCAATGAAGCTCCAATGTCATAGAATTTATCCAGTGCAATGACCTCATGCCAGGTAGATGAGGCCTAAGCCCAGAGAAAGAATAATTACCCAGCATTCTGTGGTCAGGCCCAGTTCTCAACTAATCTCTCTGTTTCACCTGACAAGTTTAAGCTTTTAAAAAATATTTTAAATTTCTGTCTCATTAAGAGCTATTTATTTTTATCCCTGCCCCTCCCATCCTCCTCCCAACAGCCTGGATAAATTGTTTTTTATCATTTAGAACAAGTGTTCTGCCATCCTGCCCTTCTGGTTCAGTGGAGTAACTGTTTTCTTATTTGTGAATCAACATGTCATGTTTTTTTTTCCTTTGTCTTGTTTTGCTTCTGTGCTACAAAATAAGACCAAGATAAATTTCTATAGAATAAAAACAGTTTTCTATCACTAAGTAGATTCTCCTCTATTAACTCAGGTAAAAAAACATTTCTTTATAGGTTAATATTTCTCTGTTCACTCTCAACTTTGATGTCATAAATAATATGATTAGAAATGTTCACCATTCCCACATAACCATGTACATTGTACTCAACACCTTTCTGATGAATTATTATTTTGGCCATTCATTAAGCCACATCATTGAGAACTGCAAGTTTTTTTCAAAAGGCACATCAAGACCATCAACAGCTGGGAAACAGGGTAAGGTTCTGTTGCCTACCTTAAAGTAGCTTTTAAATTTTATTATTTTTGATTAGGCAGGGCTGGAGCCATATTCAGTGATACTTGGAGACTACACCCAGCTCTGTTCTCAGAGGTTGCTCTTGAAAGTTCTCAGGGAAGCAGGTAATGGTGAGGATAGAGCCAGGCCTCCCAGTGCAGTAACTAGGCTTGGTCAATTGAGCTATCTCTGCATCCCTCCAACAAAATTAACATTTTCTTTTCTTTTCATTTTCTATTTGCTTTGTCTGAGGTCTTTGGTACACACATAGTAGTGCTCACAGCTTATTCCTATGTCTGTACTCAAAGATTACTCCTGCAGGTAATAGACAGACCATATGGGGTGCCAGGGTCTACTTTGTGCAAGGCAAGTGCTCTCGCCATTCTGCTATCACTCCGGCTCCAGAGTAGTTTTTTCCTGTTTGTTTGTTTTTTGTTTTAATTCTTAGTGAAACCAGGAAAATACCCTTCCATCTTCTTTACCCTGTCCTCCTTATATACACGTTCAAAAATATGAGCAGCACAGTCTTTACACTGTTAGATTTTCAAAGCTAACTATTTCTTAAGTTTAAAGTAAGGATAAATGCTCTGTGTGTGTTTCTAAAATAAAAGTAAGAATGATGAAGTCATATTCCCACAAATGGCAATATGAATGTATATTGAAATTTGATGGAAACTTCTTTTATGACTATAGTTGTTTCTACACATTAAAAGATCTATGGTCTATAAGCTTCAGAGTAGCCCCCACAGTAGTCAATAGTTAAACATTTTAAGAAATTGAAAGAACCAAACAAAATTAATAGACTGAAGAGTTTTGAAACATGCTGTGAACCAATGTTTCAGAAATAATTCACTATGTAAAACTTTGATTAGTTCAACTACAAATTAAAAATCAAATCAAAGACCAGGAGAAGATACATCTCACAGTGATACTTGATATGCATTTTCAGACGATTTTTTGATCCTTTGTTCATCTTCTTTGGAATTTAACAAAATCCATTTCCTAAGTTATTGGAAATATTTTTAATGGCTTTAGACAGAGGTTAAGAAATGAAAGACAGTTCACAGTTCTAAGTGATTTGCTTTGACAGATGAATGAAATAGTTTCTAAAGACTGGACGTTCCCAGAGCGTCTTGGAAAGTTATGTCAGAAGTTGACCTGACCATACTCACTTTCCCTCATTAGCTATGAAACTTTAAGAATTTAGAAATAGGAGTTCTAATGATATTCTTGCTTGGCATATTTATTTTGCAAGTGAGAAGCCACAGACCACGAAAGGTGTCTGATTTGTACTAGGCAAGAAATTGAGTCCAGATCTTATGAGCCCCACTGGTATTTCATCATTACTGTGCTATAACGGATGGTCACAACTCCAAGAGTTGGAATGATACTCATGGGACCAAAATGAAAGTGACTAAACTTAATTGGTAAATTCATTCAAAAATACTCATTAACTGCCTACCAGTTAAATACAGCCTGTGACGTTACCTTGTTTCTATAAAAGTGCACTGCAGGAAGAGATTTCTTACTTTTGGGGAGGAGTGAGGGTAGGTCTTCCTTGGCTGTGCTGCTGGCTCTGTACTCAGGGATCACTCCTAGTAGGGCTCAGAGGACCATTTGTGGTGCTGGTAATGCTGGTAATTGAACCTGGATCTACCCCAGGGAAAGCAAGTGCTTTATCTGTTTACCATTCTTCCAATCCCAGGAAGAGGTGTCTTTTGTAATGAATAAGGATCTTCACTGTACTAGGATAGTCACTGAGTTAAATGTGAATAATAAATCATCAGACATGCAAATTAAAAATAAAACTTTACTAACAAATAAAATTGGGCTGTTTCAAATAAACTAGATTGAGTCAAGCATGATCTATAATAGTATTTCTTCACTGAACGCTACCAGATGTGTTTTTCCTAAACCACTCAAAGATTCAAGCTAATAAAATTGTAGAAAGTTGGTAAGATCTTACTTTTAAAAAAACAACACTCTCATTTTTTTCTTTTCTGGTGGTGGGCGGAGGCCAGCTTCCAAGCAGTGCTCAAGGGTCTTCCATGGGCTACTTTATCAATCAGGCCAGACCTTTTAATGACAGAGCTCAAGCAATGTGATGTTTCTGATCTAGCAGTGCTTGGGGGGTTGGGGGCCTGATTTTGTGGACCACAAAGGCCACCCCCAGCCCAGTGCCATAGAATGTGGGCATGCAACTGGGATCTCACCCTGAGGCTATGTCTCCTGGCCCAGGAAAACAAAACAATGTTCCAGTTTATCTAAGAGACCTGTTCACTACTTTTAAAAAATTACCTTTTTCCTTTAATTTGTAGAAACTGCTGAATGTAAAGAAATCAATGAGGGGTTATGTTCACTTTATTGTTGCTAGCATGATGTTTGAGACCAATTTTTAAACTTCAGTGAACTATTTCCTTTAATGACATTTTTTGTATCTTAAACTTGATCTTTGGGAAGCCCTTTACCAACTGTCAATTTCAGTTTGTTTTAAAATTCAGGGCCTGAATGCTCTCAAAGGTTTTGAATACTGTAATTGTTAAAGGGCATTTGGCTCTTTCTTTTGGAAGCCTTTGCTTTACACAGGCCAACTAAAGTCGCCTACGGTGACTTCATATATCTACACGCATAGATAAGTAGATCTATATGCATATATATATATACATGTATATACAATATATCTATATACATACATATGTACATATAACACATTGCACTCCACTGACCTATTATAATATACAGGAATCTTTCTGTAAAGCAAAAGAAATTCTAGACTTGGAGTCTAGGCTTGGGAGCCCCCCCACTAACCTATTGATTCGCCCTTAAGGGTATCTCTAGAACACGGGGAAAAGTGTATGTATGGGGGGTTGGGGGGGGAATCTGAAACCAGGCTAAGATGCTAAAAGGAAGGGAAATTAGCAAAGCCCCCCGGGAAGACCGTTACTTCTTGGCCCACGGGTGGACGGTGCTGGGGAGAGCAACGGGGCGCGGGGCTGGGAGGGAAGGCGGGACGCGGGGGGAGAGACAGGGCCATAGAGGACGAGGCCCCGGGAGCCACAAAGACCGGCGGGGAAGCGGCGGAGCGGCGGGCGCGCTGCGAGGGAGATAAAAAAGCAGGAGGCGGAGCTGCCGAGCCGAGGTGGCGCCGCAGCCCCCGCCGGACCGGCCGGCCCGAGTCGAGCTGCTCCCGCGCTTCCCACGCAGCGGCCGCGGCGGGGAGGAGTCCCCGAGAGTTTGCCCGCGAGCGCGGGGAAGTTTGCCTGCCCGAGCCGCGCTGCGGGGAAGGGCTGTACCTGCCGGCGCCTGCTCCTCTCGGCTCCCCGCGTCCGCTCGCCAGGTAACTGCACTTGCGGGGGGCGGGCACTGGGACTTAAGGGGGTGAGGAAAGGGCCTCGATCGCTGGGCGCAGCTTGCGCCCGCAGTTGAAGAGGGGCCCGGGAGCGCGGGAAGTGCATCCTCACCTTTGCAGGTACTTCACCTCTGGCTGCGGGAAGGCGGCTTGGGACCCTCTTTTCTCCCCCTTCTCGAACCGCAGCCCTGCCTTGGGCTTGGCACCCACTCGCTGGCACTTTATTGGACGTGCTGGGAGGCTACCGCGGGGGTTGGGGTGGGTGGGGGGTTTGGGGGCTGGAAAGACCTGAGAGGGGCGACTGCAGAGGGACACGGGTGCCCGGAACTTGTTAGTTACCTGTGTCTGCTCTCTGGGCCCTGGTGGGGCCACCTGGACGGCAAGATTCCCGCGCCAGCTCCCCTGATGCCGGTTTATCCGGTCCTCCGGCTTGTTTGGCAGAAAAGCATCTCTGCCTTTCTTGCCCGGGTCGCTAACTCTGAGATGGAGCAAGGGCCCTGGCTAAGGTCGCGGCCAAGTTGGGAGGGAAGTTAGAGGGCTGGGAGCCCGCGTTGCAAATCTGCCCCAGCTAGAGGCGCTCCAGGTGAGGAGGAGGCTTGAGGTGGGCTGGGCAGAGTAGAACTGCGAGGGTTGCTTTGTTGTTGCAGCAGTTACTTTTACAAGGTTAGCCCTGGTTCCTCTTCTTCGGTTTGAACTTCCTGCCTATCAGCATGTTTCTGTTGCAAGGCTAAAAGGTGTTATGTTTGATGTGTGTCAGGAGTTGTTTCCAACCAAGTTCACAGGTGCAAAGGGAGCTGCCATTTCTCCCCTCCTCTCTCCCCAAAGGTCAAACTCCACTCCTAGAAGCAAAGCTTTCCTGCACAGACCCCCAGGTTCTAAAAGGAATGCCAATGTAGTGTGCTTGTGTGACTTTGTGCTATCAGAACCCAAACGCTGGGATGTTGAAGAGGACATTAGCAGGTTGTTTTTAAAAAAAAAAATATATATGTATATATATATATATACACACACACATATATATATATAGTAATTGAGATGATTCTTATCAGTGCTTCATATTCCTCACTTTAACCCCAAACGTTGCATCAGTTTTATCAGGTATTGCTACCACTGGGTGTAACGTAGGTGGGCTTCTTTCAGACTCAAATAACACCAGAGATGCAGTGTGACTGTATTTAATAATTACTGAGTCTTCCTGATTCAGTGGCCTGGCACCTGCCAATTCCCATACATAATCAGCCCACCATATGCCTGTCTACCAGATTGAGGACAAGGAGGATGTGATTGGTTTTTTTTTTTTTAAGACAAGAGTAATGTGGACTACCAGATTTTGTTATTGTTCAAAAACCCTTTAGGACTTCAGTCAACACGAATCGAATATACAGAATGAAATTGCACTTTTACCCAGTGCATTCAAAAAGAATACAATACCTGAGCACTTGACCAGTTGTTTAAGGAAGAAAAAAATGAAAGTTTTCTCATCAGACGGAAAACGTTTTGATTGAACATTGTCAGTAAGAAATAGCATACACTTCCTGCCCAGAGAAAGCACAAAGAAAACATTTTTTTCCTTTTTTGTTTTCTCTTGCCTCATTTGGGTTTTATCTTTTATTATACTCATGTCCTCCAGAAAATGAGCACCTTGCAGATAGATGTTGGTGTGTACTGACTGAACAACATATTTTTTTTAAATATAAATGCTTGGGGACAGTCCAAAACCAGAAATGTTTTAAATCATTACCAACCATCTGTTCTCTCCCACTCAATGCACAATGTTTTATTTTCTCAGGTGATAAAATATACATCCTCATAGTATTCATTTCCATGAATCCCCCTAGTCAGGCTACCTGAAGTTGACCTAATTTCAGCAACTACTTTGTTGATCCTATGAACCCCTTAAGCTCCTCTCCTTTTCATTTCAATGAATGAAGTAAGCGAAAAAGTTTTAGGGCCTTTGGTCAAGACCGGTCATATACTCTGATGAAATGAATGCTTCCCCCACCTTTTTGTTACCAGAAAGAATCTGAGAAACATTGCAGCTGCAGGCTTCTCCTGATGATAGTCCTTCCCTTTCTTCCTGGCCACAAGGGTAACATTTGGTGCTCTGAAGTAGTACATTAAAAAGTATGTGATACCGGATAATGTGTGTGGTTTCCAAAAGAATGTCACCTCTTCCAAGGAATAATTTACAAACTGGAAGACTAACAATATTTCAACTAGCAAATCATGTAGACCCAAAAACACACACATTTTTTTTGCCAGACATATAATAGGGGCTCTTATATTCTGGATAAACTGTCTATCTATATTCTTTGTGTTTGGGAATCTGAGTAAATTTGTGGATAATCATCAGCTAGAGTCACACACTCCTGGGTGGTTCATGTCATCATTTAAGCAAGACTTAAAGTTTTCAGTCACCCAGCCAAGAACATTTTCTCATTTTGGTAGTTTGCTAGAGCTAGAATTTCAATGTTAGGATATTTTTATCACTGAAAATTAAGTTTCATAATAAATATGTTGTTACTCAGTGTGCCAGAACATTGGGAAATGTTTTTTTTCTACTCAAATCTGGGCATAATGGCTCTCAAAAGCACTCTCATGTTTTTGAGGAAAAAGATCTTGGTAATCTTGGATACACTCTGAGATAATTTTATCAACCAGAGGAAGGTTATTTTCTGCCTTCTCACCTGCTACACTCCTCTATCCTGCCTTTGCCATGAAGGCCAAAGAGTCTCCTTTCTTAGCACTAGGATGCACTGAAGAGAATTAAATCAAACTATGAATAATTTTGGAAGTAAGTTGCTTTTAAGAAATATGGTCTAATTTAAAACCTTTGGAAACACATAACACTGTATTACATTTTATTTTTCTGTATACTAAAAATGAATTATTGAGGGGAAACAGTTTCACCATGTGTAGTAAGCACTCTGAATTATTCATGTTAATGAGAGGAGTAAAGGCAACAACAATCCAAAATCACGGTTATTTAAAAAGTCATTTGTGTTTGTCTCTGGGATGGATTACATGTGTGTTTTTTTTTCAAAAGGTTATCACTGCATTGTAGGCAAGTTGCCTTTCTAATTATTTTATTCTGTTTCAGTTAATTTTTTAAATGTGCTGCCCTCTGACACCAAACCTAATTGATGGGGAGGTGGTGTAAAGGGACCTGCTTCCTGGAAAGGTACAGGGTGAGCAAAATAAGACACTTCACTATCCAATTCACACAAAAAGATAACAGAGACTTGATTATATGCCTTCTCAAAGAATAAGTATTAAAAAATACATGCTCTTGGGGGTGATGGGGGGAGTTCTTCAATCAAAATGTGGGAAATTTAAGTCCACTTTACATGTAATAAGATGATTAATGGTCTTGAGAAAAATACTTAGGAGTTGTTCTGTGAAGCCAAGTAGGACTATACTTATTTACAAATCTTATTAAGCTGAATTTGTCAGTGTGAGTTGTTCCTAACACATACACGTGTGTATGTGTTAAGATGACACCTAAGCGATGTATATATGTGTGTGTGTATATATATATATATATATATATATATATATACATATATATATCAGCAAGATGCCATCAGATCAAGAGGTTTGACCTATTTGATCTCTGCACCTGTGCTCCAAATCAAAGCACATTTCATCAGAGATGCTTTATTGTTACTGTCTATCTGGTTAGATAAAATAGTTGAGGTTCAGAAAGACTGCCAATTTAACAGCTTTCTATTGTGTTTTTCCAAAGCGCCAGGGAAAAATTGGTTGTGGATGAAAGAGTTACTTGAACAAGAAGTTGATTCACACCGTAGCACTTTCTGCTTAACACTTTATTTATAGTCAGTTTTCAGTTGTATAGAAATTTTGTTGAATTGTTACTTCCTGGACTATTAGAAAGAACTTAGAAAACCTTTGTAGAGAAGGTTATATTTGTCAAAACTTTTGATGAGTAACTCAGATAATATCATTTTTATTTTAATAATTCAAAAAAAGTAAAACTATTGCAGCAGTGAGCAGAATGGTAATAGGGAAGTAGATGTCTCCTTCAGAACAATTGTTCTCATGATAAATGTGCTGGCGACTTAAAATATATGGCAATTTCACTTTTGAGGAAACATTTTTTTTTTATTTTTTATAGAGCACGGCATTTTTTTTAATGTCTTGACTAGACCGAGTACTTTAAATGAAGTAGTATGGTTGAAAATATAATTGGGTCCCCAAAGATTATAGTTTATATATACACTCATGAAAGAAATCAGCTTTTCCTGATCAGTGCCCAAGTTTTGGGAAAAAGTGATGTATTTTGTTATAGAGCAGAAAAGGACTTTGAAAATAATTTGTTCTAGTGCCCTTATTTTACAATTAAGACATTTGGACCAGCAGTGATCCCCATGAACTGTTAAAGGTCACTGTAGTAGAGAGGCAGAGCAGCAGGAGAAATCAGATCTCCTGACTCTTCATCCCAGCACAGATGCGATCTTTAGGGGAGTTAACTCTTACTGGCCATCACACTATCCACTGTGTATGATGATCATGAAGTGGTCTAGAGATAAATACAGAAGTGTTGTAGCTTGCTCTCTTGTGTCATTCATTGGATACTCATTGTAGACCATGGTCCTCAACACAATCAAAATCACATCTGCTTCTTTAATCAAAAGAAAACTGTATTAGGGACCAGATAGTATAGGTGGTAAGGCACATGGTTTGAATGTGGTTGCTTCTGCTATCCTTGATTTAATTCCCAGAACAACATATGGTCCCCCGAGTACTGCCAGAGATCATTCCTGAGTACAGATCCAAGAATAGGCCCTGTGTAACATTGGGTTTAGCCCAAACCCTGCCCCTCCAGAAAAAAGTTATGTTACCCTTTATATATTGAAATCTATTTAATCAGCAAAATGGGTTATAATGTATAAGTAATAAAAAGGGGCAATAAAGCAAAAGTAATTTCTAAGAAAATATGTATTTTACTACTAATATTTGTGGTTTAC